GCAACCCCGCTTCCTCCTAGCAGTAGGCAGCTGGTCCCAGTGGGGCGTTTCCCACGCCTGCGGCATCGCCAGCATCAGCAGGCGAGCACCCCCTCCTCAGCTCCCTGGGTCCCAGCCCATGAGGCACAGCTTGAGTTAAGAAACCCCAGTACCAGAAGCACCCCACCTTCCGAGGTGGGAATTTCAGCTGCATAGAGCCCTTCGCCCCGGTTTCGAAGACCCCAGCCTCTTCCTTTGGTTCATCCTGATTCCGTGGCTTCCCGTATCTGCCATCTCCATGGTAACTTAGTGTTGGCCGTTTCTTTTATTTTATTGGTTTTACGCCTACAGCGCCTGGTCATCCCAGGTGGTCTCCCGTCCAGGTATTGACCAGGCCCGACCGTGCTGAGCTTCCGGGACCAGACGGGACCGGGCGCGTTCGGGGTGACGTGGCCGTGGACTTTTCTTTTCTTTTTCTTTTTTTTTCCAGTTACCAGTTCTTTGTGTTAGTTTTGTTGGTCAAATAGCCCGTGTGGTTTCTGTCTCTTGACCTGACCCCGTCCGGATGGCAGAGTCACCTTCGTCTTTGTGCTGACATTGGTCGGTGCCCTATTTGAAATGTCCCTTTTTCCTTTTTACCTGTTTCAAGTCCTGTCCCTCTGTCTTGGTCCCATCCTGGCAGAGTGATTTCGTGGCCTCTCCGCACCCGTGTGGTTAGCAGGCGGCCGCTGCTGTGGCTGGATCTTCTGTTCTGGTTTTAGCAAGCGCAGTCTTGATCATTTTTACCCCCCAGTCCAGTTTTTTACTGTGTCCTTAGAACTGTTTGAATGTATTTAGCATTTTTTAGGCAGTAATCTTTTCCTTAGACTTTTCCTTCTGGATCCCTTTCAGTGCCCTCTGTCATGAGAAGTCACTTTGTTCGTCGAGTTAGTTTTCTGTTGCTCGCTTCTTTTAGTGCCCTGTCCTCAAGCTTTCGTCTCCGGTCCGTTCCTGCGGTTCTTCCCGTTTCTCGGACTGGCCCTGAGGAATCTCTGTCCGTCCATTTCAGAGACGTGTTCACAGAACTGTATAAAACGCATAAGTAACAGAGTACATTCTATCAAGAGTGGGAGGAAAACCGGGTGAGGACTATGGCAGCTTCAGGGCGTGGGAGGTGGAGAGACCCGCGTGCAGGTTGCAGCCTTGGCCCAAGGCTCTTCCATCATCTCCGCCCCGAGTCTCACTGTTCACGGGTGTCCGAGGTCAGGACACCTTTTTCCCATGTCACGGATGAAAAAATTCAGTCACAGAGGATCAAGTAACTTCTCAAGGTGGCACGGCCACCAAGTGGTGCCGTTAGGACTTGAAGCTCCTGAATGCCAGCGAGGGCTTCTCCTGGGCCCCACAGTGGCGTGGCCACCTCCTGCCAAGCAGGGGAGGAGTCAGCAGAACTGGTAACATATCATTGGACCACTGAGCTAGGTGCGGGTGGTTGAAACTAGAAATGAAAACAAACAACATGCTCCAAAGTACTCTAAGCAACAGATGAATGATGGGTCAAAAAGCCATTTAGCAAAAAATACAGTCGAATGTCAGATCTGTAAAGAGTTGATAGCTTTCTAAGCCTTAATAACAGAATGACAAAGGAAACATGAATTCAGTTTTATTAAAAATTATACTTCTATGAAAAGTCATTATTTCCGTAAAATAAATATAGCATAATTGCGATGAAGGAACAGAATGAAGGAATGGTGTTTACAGCCTGTAGGTCTGAGGGAGCCGAAATAGAGCACTTCTACGGCTATTTAAGAAGACGAAGACAGGATCAGTGAGCAGATGTCGCGGACAGTTAGCGGACAGTTACTGTCGCAGGGTGCACAGCTGGCTGTGGGGAGGGGGTCATTAGCCTCCAGGGCATCGGAGAGCCATCTGTCTGTCTGAAAGGAAGGTGAGACATCCCTGCGTGGCATTGGGGCGGGGCGGAGGCGGAACCAGTCTGACTCAGGAGATGGAGTTTGGAAGGCAGGTTAGGAACCATAGAAAATGTTAATGCCCTTTAGAGAGTCCTAGAATTTCATCCTAAAGATTATGGTAAAATAGGAAAAAAGCCGTGTGCCTGAAAATGTTCGTTGCAAATTTATGATGCACCATAAGAAAATAATTTAAAAAATTATGTGTTTAACCTGTGTGTTCAGTAGATACGTGATTCAAATTGTCGGCATGTTGACTTAGTGAAATATTATGCATCTGTTAAAATGACCATTGAGTGGTATCGAAACATGCAAATGGAACAGGTATAAGACGCGTGCACGTCGCCCGTGAGCGCGGGCACCGCGGGAACGCGGCCGAGCTGACGGGATCTGGGGCGCAGTCGCGGGTGGCCTTTCCTCTGATTTGTGAATATCGCCGCGTGCTTTGCACATGTCACACTGGCTCGCACCCTTTTTGAGCCTTTGGGGTTTTCTAGAAGTGTCCAGAACGGTGAGTTGAACCACTGCCAGAGAGTGTTCCCACAGTGACAGCGCATCCGTGACTGGTTGGCGTCACCTCCTTTCCAGATGCTCTCTCGTGGGAAAGTAGAACTAATCGGATTCGTTGGGTTTGTTTTTCTTCACGGTAAAATGAAAGGGACTGTTTGGTTCCCCCCAAAACACCAAGAGAGGTTGTGGTCTTCGGTGACTGTTAGAACACGCATTGCCATTAGGAATTTTGGGAATGGTTATTTTTGGTGATATTCGAAAGAAATAAAGATGAACCATTGACGGTCTTTAAGTTGCAGCTCAAGGATTTTATTTACCCTGGACTTTAAAAAAGTGACGCAAGCGCTGTGTGTGGTTTTCTGCTCTCCTTCCTCTTCCTTTTTTGCCGCGGTGGCGGTGGCGGTGGCGGTGGCGGTGGTGATTTGCGGTTGGCGGGCACCGGGCATCTGGTGCCCTGGCTCTCATTACCGTGCTCAGTGGACCGTGGGGGTCAAGCCTTAGTGGCATTGGGCAACTGTTTAAGGGGAAAACACAGAATTAGATTAATAACGCGGAGCCCAGGAAGTGTCAGACGGCGGGGAGCTTTTGGAGGTGATCGAAGATGCACACGTAGGCGTGAGAAATGACACGGGGAGAGCCCTGTGCTCTTCGCCTAGTTCCCCGGCAGGAACGTTCCGTAAAACTGTAGTGGTGGAGGACTTGAAAAACGACTCTGCAGAAATAGAACAAATAAAAGTTAGCATAAAACGTGTGGGTTTAGGTCTGACAGTGAAAATCAGAACAGCTGTTAAAAGATGTCATGAACTAAACGGTTGCTACACCAGGGCGGGATGAAGGTGGTTTGGCCTTGAGGCTCGTGGCTTCTGGTGGTGGCTCTGCCACTCACTCTGCTCCTGGGAGGAAATTATGCAAACTTCTCTGGAGCAGTCTCCTGGGGCCCCGGTCACAAATCAGAGCAAACTGGGGGCCTTAGAACAACAGAGATTGTTTTTCTCTCTCACAATCCTGGAGGCCAGAAGTCCAAAAAGTCAAGGTGTCAGCCGGCCACACTCCCTCTGACGGCTCTAGGGGAGAACCTTACCTGCCTTCCAGCTTCTGGTGGTGGCAGTGTGGGGGCACAAAAGGTGAACTTCCTCCCACCTTCCAGTTACGCTGATTGTGCCAATCAGATTAACGTGAGAGAGTAACAGAAGAAATTATCCAGATGTTATCGTGCGGGGGGCCCGTAGGACTGTGAGGCCCGAAGACGCGCTGGGCAGTTGGGGTCTGTGTGTGTGCCCTTGGGACTAAGGACGGGGCAGGAGCCTGGGATTTCAGCGGGCAAACAGGTGATTTACAGGTAGAGGAGAAGGAGCCAACAAGTGGTCAGCAGGTTCTTGCTGAGCCACCTGGAAACTGGGACACAGAGGGAAGTTCGACAAGTGGGCTTTGCGGGCGTCCCCCTGCCTGCTACGTTCAGATGCTCATGACACCGATGTGATGCTCCCTTCCTTTAGGTGTTTCTGTCTGAATTTCTTCAGGCGGGTAACGGGAGGGTCAAAGGTTCTTTGAGTCTCGTGTTTCTGAATGACCAGCTTAAAACCAATACCCCAAAAGGCATATTTGGGGGTGGCAGGTTTCTGTCCGCAGTAATCCTCGGCTTTTAACTGAACCATTCCAACCTGTGCCTCCGACTTCACGTGGCTTCCCGCCTCTGCGTCCAGATTCCCCCTTTGCAAGACCACCAGCCATTCCTCCCCTTCCTGCTTATGTCCTCATCCCGACCCCACTTCCAAGTACGGTCACATCCAGGGCTTCTGGGTGGGCATGATGGGCATGATTTGGGGGCGACACTGTTCAGCCCAGCACACTCTCCGTAGAAACCTGGCTCAGTTTTGTCCTCCCTGAAATGTGGCTAATAATTGAATTACTCCCAGAGTGGACGTGTGGAACAGGTGAGCGTGCCGGTCCCTGGCTGGGGTGACTGTCGGAGGCTCCGCATTTGAGACCGTCAAGGATGGTTCTGGTTGTCTGGGGCATCACCTGTGCTTTCCAGACTGTCCGTGTCTCAGAGACTCTCGTGTTCCCCGAGCCGTCCCGTGGCTCCGGCCGAGCCGACAGGTGCGTGCAGCGCTCGCTCACCTGGAAGCCTGGCGCGTGTGGTGCTCACGTGAGCTGCAGCAGCTGCAGAGCAGCCGGGGCTCTGCTGCCGGCCAGGGCGACCTTCACTTTCGCAGTTCTCACCAGGGGGTTTCTGTCCTGATGGTATTTGTTATAACGTATGGACGTGTAGATGCTAAAGATGAACAGCTGTATTAATTTAGCACAAGTACCGACTTCCTGAAACTTTTCAGATAGTAAACATTTTTAAAGTATTTATTTAAAAAGTACATTTTTTCTTTAAAAAAAAAAAATAGAACTTAGTGGAATACCCCAATCAGTTAAATTTTTACATAGTACCATTGTTCTCAAGTAAATTGTTAATTTTGCTTTTTTAAATTTATAGCTAAACCATTTACACAACTGGTGAAGGAAATGCATTCATCGAGA